CTGTCCTTGTGGATTTTAGTTATTTGTGTGTGTTTTTTGAGTGTGTAACACATTGAATGTTTCAGAAAAGCAATTCTGTACAAAATGTGTATTCAGAGGAGTATGATTTCCTTGCCTTCACTCCCTTTGTCCTTTCCACTCAGTTTCTCCCTCGTTCTGTAGGTAAACAATCTCATTAGTCTTTAGGTGTTCCTTTTATTCAGAGTACGTAAATATATTTTTTCTTAATTCCTTTTCTTTTTTTACCCCAAAAGTATAATACTATACTCTATTGTACTTTGCTAATCATACAACTTGACAGCTGAATCAGACCTTATGGTTGCATTTCTAAGATTATTCTTTCTTTGTTTTTTTTCTTTAGACATTAGATCAGCAACAGTTTTTCACAGAGGAAGAACTGAAAGAATATGAAAATCTTATCTCCTTACAAGAAAATGAACTTAAGAAAAAAGCAGATGAACTTCAGAAACAAAAAGAAGAACTACAGCGTCAGCATGACCAACTCGAGGCTCAGAAGCTGGAATATCATCAGGTGGTATTTTCTGAAAGGATTGCGGCATTAAAAAGGATTTTAGGTGCTTTGTTAAAAACCTGTGTTGTAGTAATATTTCAATCACTATTAGCTATAGTATTTTAAATGTGTTTTAAAAACTGCTTTGTTGAATTTTAATCTAAATTTTAGAATTTGACTATTTCATTTTGGAAAATAATTTTCAGTTAGTTGTGATTTGTTAAAGGTCACACATATCAGAGAAAATCAAGTACTACTTCCTTTTAAAACATTATTTTTCATTCCCCAGGTCGTACAGCAGATGGAACAAAAAAAATTACAACAAGAACTTTCTCCATCAGTGCCTGGTGGAGAATCGAAGTTCAAGCCACGTATGTAATTTTGTTTGCTTATTTGTTTAAGGAAATAAATTGAAATCCACATTTATTGCAAGTATGATTTCAAATTATTAATATCTTTGCTATTTTCTATATATTTGTGGAACTACAGCACCTTACATTTCAGAAAGCCTATAAAGTTTTTATGCATCTGTATATTTCAAAAGCTATATAATTTAATAGGCATATTTATGGTGAAGTGATTTATTTGGACATTATTTATCATTCTTTCTAATCATTTATTGATATTATCAGAGAACATGTTTTTAATTTTAATTTTTTTCTTAACTGTAGCCTCCATTCTGACAGTTTTGGTTTTACATGTGGTAGGGTAAGCATTGCGCAGCCAGAGTATCCATGCCCATAAGACATTCAGGTAAAGGAGACACAAGTTATTTGCATAAGCCTGTCTAAACATTCTGAGGCCCATCATCCCATCAATCCTTCCCTTGGGAGAACAACCTTCATGTTCTCTCAATCTAATTGTTGTTCACACCAGCGCTTCGCCAGTGGATTTTGGTACCACAGTTTGTGAAGCTCCCAGGTCAGTGAGTCCAGAAATTTCTCTTCTCTACCTCCTGACCGTTTTACCCACTCTGGTGTAAAGACTTTGAATCCCCAATGAGTGGTTGAGTCAAAGGACCCTCGTCCTTTTGTCAGCTTTCATCTTTTAAAAAAAATATTTTTATTGTTGATAGTATTACAGATATCTCCCATTTCCCGTCTTCCCCTCTTCCTCCCAGCCCCTGCCCACCCCTTGAGGTCTTCACTACCCTATTGCTGTGTCCATGGGCTATGTCAGCCTTCAGCTTGATTCAACTCCTTAACCATTGCTTGAAGCAAATGCAAGTCAGATTTCTCATTATAATCTTTGAATCTTGGCTTTCAAAATGTTCCAAACCAGGATAAATAAAGCAGACTTGTTTGGGGCTCTTTAATCCTGGGGAGTCAGTAGGGGGTTCTTTTGGCATGCACCACCTTGGGTAGCACTGTATTAAAACCTTTGTTCAATCCCCATCGTTGTCCATTTTATTTACATCTAACCGTCGGGGGTGTGGGTGTTCATATGCTGGGCCAGGCCCACTGTGGTTGGGGTCCCAGCATTGGCTCCTTCTTTGGGGGGCTGAGTAGCATGGATTCTGGGCAGCTCCATCAGATGACATTAGCATAGGCAACGACTGAGGGAATCCTTAGTGGCAAAGCTTTAGGTGTTGGGTTTCGCTCAGTGGATACAGCTTTGGCCTGTGGACTGAAAGGTCCCGGGTTCGATGCTGGTCAAGGGCACATGCCAGGGTTGCGGGCTCATCTCTGGTGCCGGGTGTGCAGGAGGCAGCCGGTCAATGATTCTCTCTCAGCGTTGATGTTTTTATCTCTCTTTCCCTTTCCCTTCCTCTCTGGAATCAATAAAAAAAAAATATATATATTTTTAAAAAGCTTTAGGTGTCCCTGACAGCCACGAGGGCTGCTTGGGGCCTTGGTGATGAAAGCTGCTGGGATCTTCTCCTTTTCCACCAAAGGGGAGAGGTCACAGCTGAGGGCATCCCATCCCTTTTGGCAGCAAGCTCTGCGGGACTGGGGGATAGGTTGACAAAGGCCAAATGCTGCTGTGCTTTTCTATGTGGCCATCTTTGATTTCTGTGCTCCACTGGGCTGCTGTACCTTCTGCATGTACTCCATAGCTCTCTCAGAGCTATTTTCATCAGTAAGCAGCAGTTAATCATTTTTTTTCTGGCGGACAGAAAAACAGAGGCACAAGCCCCTCCATTGTCCTCGATACCAGAAGTCTTAGGTGGTTCCTGGTCACAGGCATTCACAATGCTGGTACTCATGGTGTTTGTGAAGTAATGGGTATGTGGGTTTCTGCCTCCTTCGCTGAAATTATTTGGTTCTGTGCTTCTAGTGCCAGACTTGGCAAGTTTGTAGCTACTGCTTCTTCCTTTTGCTGTGCTGGTTCTTTTGGGTTTTTATTTTAAATATTGATTTTAGAGAGGAAGGGAGAGGGAGAGATAGAAACATCAATGATGGGAGAGAATCATTGATAGGCTGCCTCCTGCTCACCCTGCACTGGAGATGAGCCCGCTATCTGGGCATGTGCCTTTGACCAGAGTCAAACCTGGGACCCTTAAGTCCGCAGTCCAATGCTTTATTTGCTGAGCCAAACCAGCTAGGGCTGCTGTGCTGGTTCTTGAACCAAGTCTTTATTACTGATCCAACAAGTAGAGTAGCTGAAGAAAGTTCTGCTATGGTAACCCAATGTGGGTTAGTGGTCTTTTCAAATGTATCTTTCAGTTTTCTAAGCTGTTGTGAACTAAAGGTTGTGCAGTATTGATGCGCAGACCTTGGCTTGTCTCATCCATCTTATATGGAAGATTTATGTAGCAGGCCCTTATTCTTTATACAAACACACCCCCCCCCAAAGCCAGCATGCTACCTCATTGCCCAAAATGTGAAGACAAGAGGTCAAACACCCAGATTTCACTTAGGTTTTCAGCATCGGCCATAGTATCTTTTCGAAGTATAATAAATGTTCCACTGTGTGTGTTTCTGAGATCCTGAATTTTATCTGTGTCAAACATATGCTTTTAATTGTAATCTATGATTTATATAAGTGATTTTAAAAATAAATATTACATATGAAAGGAGATTCCTTTAAAATGAGAGTATATATTTTTTTCTTTGAACAGTCATTTGAAGTCTGAAGTCCACCAGAACTTGGAAGAAAACTGTAAAATCAACATCAGTGTCATCTTTTTACTTCCCTTCCTTTTTCTCTACTCAAATATTTTAAGACATAAATGGAATAAAGGAAGATACTTTTTAAATAAGAACACTTTTTTTTTTGACACCGATATTTAAAGATGGAAGTCCACCAGAACTAGGAAGTAAACCTCAATATCTGCTCTCACTTTCATACCTCCCCTCTTTTTTCTTTGTTCTCCTTTACTGATTTAATCAAGTAGCCTTAGGCCATAATTTAATGAAAATCTCAGTAACCATATAAGTGAGAAAGCTCTGTTTGTTACTTTTTAAATAAATTGCTCTCACTTACTTATGAAGATAGATATTCTTCTATGGGTGCTTATCATCCCCTCACAATAAAGTCTCTTTGATACTCACAGTTCTCTTGAGAAGACCATGTATTCCCTGTTTCTTTGTAACTTCTTTCTACTTTCAGAACCCTTAACTGCTAGAAATTCTTCTACTGAATAGTTTTTGCTACTACTTGAGGTCGTTTTTCATTAATACTTTTGCTTTATACTCTATCTATTTCAGATCAGATTTGCTATATATAACCAAAAACCAAAGATAACAGTGGTTTAAACTAAATAGGAGTTTTTCCTTTTTGTATAAATCTGTAGGCAGGTGGTGTCCAGGTTCCTATCTTTCTGCTCTACTATCCTTTTATCTTCAAGCTGCTTCATCCTTACTATCCAAAATTGCTTCTGGAGGCAGGTGGGAAGGGCAAGAAAAGATCTTTTGCCACTTGAGGAACTTTCTCAGCTTCCTTGAAGCAGTTTTCCTGGAGAACCACACAACATTTGAACTTACATTTCATTCGCCCAAACTGGGTTACATGGCCATCTAGCTGCTAGGGAAACTGAGATATCTTTGTGGCAATGTGACCAGCTAAATGTTAGGATACTTGTCCTAGCTGGTTTGGTTCAGTGGATAGAGTGTCAGCCTGTAGACCAAAGGGTCCGGGTTCAATTCCAGTCAAGGGCAGGTACCTCGGTTGCAGGCTCCTCCATGGCCTGGGCCCTGGTCAGGGCTCCTGCAAGAGGCAACCAATTGATGTTTTTCTCTCACATCGATGTTTCCATCTGTCTCTCCCTCTCTCCCTAAACATCAATGAAAAACTATCCTTGGGTGATGATTAACCAAAACAAATAAATGTTTAATTAAGGAAGGTGGGAAGAGGTAACGTTTCTTAGGCAACTTTTAAAATATATATATATATATTTTTATTGATTTCAGAGAAGAAGGGAGAGGTAGAGAGATAGAAACATCAATGATGAAAGTGAATCATTGATTGCCTCTTGCACGTCCCCCACTGGGATTGAGCCCGCAACCGGGGCATGTGCCCAAAAGGGAATGGAACATTGACCTCCTGGTTCATAGGTCGATGCTCAACTACTGAGCCATGCTGGCGGGCTGATAAGCAACTTTTAATTTTAATCCAGACAGCCTTGCTGGCTACCTAAATATCTATGTACACTCTTCTAAACATAGAAAACACCCACCTCAAAAGGAAACCATCAAAATCCCACCCATTATTGCATATTGCTCAAAGACCATGATATCTCTGGCCACCCAGAAACTAAAAGTCAAGGTGTCTGCCCCATGGGCACCATATGCATAAAGGTGGGATAGGTACAGGATAACTACATAAAATCAATCTTTTTGAAATAGGGGTAAATGGGAAACTAGCAGTTGCTGATCCATAGCAAGGTCTCTCTGCTCTGTCCATAAATATATTCCTTGGTTTTCCCATCAGGCAACTGCTGAGTCACCTTCCTGGGAGTAACTCCCTTGTCTAATGTCCTCAGGGGCTCTTGGTGTTGCCCTCTGGGAAGTCTTTGTTGACCTTTACTCTAGGTACATATCAGAAAGGATGCACATCTTGGAGGCTGGATAGTCGTAGCACTTCGGGGGCTCAGGGATTGTTTAGATAGTTACAGGCTATAGCAGGCCAGGTTTAGGGTTTTTATTGATTTAGGGTTGGTTTGTTTGACAAGTCAATTTCCTAAAAACTTAGTAATTTTCTGGTCTGTTTTCTTCAATAATTATTATGAGTAACAAGAAAGATCTTGTCAAGGCATAGTTTTTATCAGAGAACCCATCTTCACTTGCTGGGTTCTGTGTTCTTTCTTTCCCTTGGGTCTTAAATGAATGGCTTGGATGGGTTCACAATGGAATTTATCTGACCTTTTTTTCTCAGGATGGCTCCCATTATTTGGCAGAAAATTCTTAAGGGAAGATTCTTGAAAAAGGTTAAGGATATTTCAGCAGCTTTCTCAGAATCTTTACGTAAGGTGTGTGGCAGTAGTTGACTTTTTTCATTCTTCAAGGCTCCAAATTTGGGACTTTTGTCAATATTTTTTTTTTAGACAGAACAATTCCCTAAGCAAAACTATATATATACCTTTCCATCTCTGTAGACTTGTAAACCTTAGCCCGAGTGGTATTTGTCTTGTAGGATTTTGCTGAAAGAGGCAGAGGCAGCCCCACATGCTGGCACTCTGAAGTTCTACCACACTTCCTTTGATACCCTTACTTCAGTTGGCATGAGGGCTCATGGCTTAAAGCCCTACCAACCCAACTCAGCCCACTTCATATTTAAGATCCTTTTACTTGCTGCACCTTACTTCTAGCTATCAGATTCTGTATAGGTCAAGATTCATGGCTGTAGGTCATAGAATCTTCTTTAGCTACTAAACCGAATGGGATTGATTATGGGAAATAGATAGCTCACAGAATTTTTGAGAGGGCTGAAGAAACAGAACCTAGGCTGAGCTTCTAGGAACTACATCACAAGAGAGGGCTGCCAAAGAAGCTGCTGCTTTTGGAATAATCAAGAAGCTGCCTGCCACTTTGGGAAGCTGACCGCAGGATTAGAAAGACATGAACAGTTGCCAGCTCCAGAATCACACCACTGCTACCACGCTTTGTGTTGGCCAACTTGGCTCCAAGTGAAAGTCTCAAGTGAGTGCATCTGATTGCTGGACCAATCATACCTGGAATCCTAGCTGCAAGGGAAGCTGGGAAATAATAGTGTTTAACTTTCCTATCTCTGTAGTACAGGAATGCATGTTTAAACTTTTCTAGTGAACTAATCCACTGTAACACCTCATAATTTACATTGTTTCTCTTAACATTAATACCTTTTAAACTCTTTGTTTTCATTTTACAAGTTTTTAACTAATTATTGGATATTCCTCCAAATATACTTCAGATTTTTTCTTATATTATGGGTCCCCAAATTAAGTATAACAATCTAGACATGTTTTGCTTATATTCATCTTTAAAAACCCCCACAAAAATCACTCAACAGAGTAATGCTACAGTTTGTCAGGGATGGAGAAGAATTCCTCTCTTTGTGGTTAAAATTGTAGGAAACATTTTAAAAAGGTCTGGAACATCTTTTTATTTATTACTGTATCTATGCCCAGAAATTGTGATAAGACAGAGGTTTTCCCAGGATAAACTCTTTTAGATGGTGGACTGTGGTTAAATCAAAAGGTAATTGGAGGAGAACTTGGAGAAATTTCTTAAAATGCTTTTATGAGCATGAATAAATAATGGATGCATATTAATGTAGACATACCTCTTAGTTTCCAGCAAATTATCTATACTAATAAAAGGCTAATATGCTAATTAGACTGGACATATTCCGGACATCCTTCTGGAGAAAGCCATTTTGGCGGGGCCAAGGTAGAAGCAGTTAGCCGCAATCAGGCTGGCAGGCGCAGGGCTGTTAGGGGCGATCAGGCAGGCAGGCAGGTGAGCGGTTAGGAGCCAGCAGTCCTAGATGGATAAATCAGAATTGTGAGAGCAGGGGAGAAGTCATTTGAAGGGCCTGGTAATAATCTCCATGAAGCTGGTGGCTGTGAAACTTTAAGACAGCTGACAATGGTGCTATAACTTTCTACATCCTTCAAAGCTTTCTCCAGCGATTAGGGAGGTGCCTTAGAAATGCAACAATGGAAAAGTTATTACAGAAGTAGGAAAATGGGAGAGTACAGAGAGAAGAAAGAACTTAATTAAAACTCAGATCATCCAGGCAAAAGTAAGGAAGAAACAATAAATGATGCTACTTCAGAGATTGCTCAATTTATGTTCTGGTCTATTCCAAAAAAAAAAAAAAAATCCCTTTGTTAACAACTGTGAGATAGAAAATATCTGCTGGGGTACACAATGTATTTTAAAACTATTATTATTTAAGGACGATATAAAAAAGCTAATGACTTGGACAAGGGCCACGCACCTGTAGAAGGAAATGAGTCAAGAGTCAGATTCTCCTTATGAGTCACAGATTTGTTTCGTGGCCAGAAGCACTCTCCACAGTGCTCAGAAAGCACTCTCCACACTGCTCAGAAAGCACTCTAGGAGTGACTGCCTGCTTGTCCAATTAGTTCTAAAAAAGCTAACATTTCTGCAAATGTAGCTTTGTTTAGGCCAAGATCAACCTTGAATCTCAATGAAATATACTATGAATATTGAAGAGAGTGAAAATACATACACAGAGTCTGTTGTATTACTAATTAAGATGTAGATGTGGCTTTATTAAAACAGCAGCAATTTCCAAAACATTTCTATAAAAGATAAAATAGAGGCTAAGAATTTTGCTTTCAGGACAACCTTTAGAAGCCAGTCAATGCGCAAAGGGACTGTTTCATTCTTTTGTGATGGCTCTGGTGACTTCTGGAAAGTTCTATCTGCCCCTCTCTACCCAGTTTCAGGGCCTCAGAATGGAAGCTGAAATACTAGAGGCTGAAATATTGTAGCCAAGGTGGACAAAGGAGCCCCTTTTCCGTGAAGGTGTTTCTTTCTCTGAAGCTGTTAGTCCAGCATCCATCAGCATACATGAAGGTCATAATAAGGCCTTGTGACTTTCAAAGTATCTGTCTATGTACCAATTAACAGGAACTCTAATTGAAATATCACATTTTTTGAATGAACACATGTATGTTTATATGTAAGCTTGTGCCTAAAATAGGTCTGGAGGGAAAACCATTAGTTATTTCAAGTCTTCTGAAAAACATGTCTTCTGGAATTTAGACATGAAAAACACTTTTTTAAAATTATTAGTTTTCCTTTTCATAAAGGAAACCACTGCTTCTTAATCTATATTTTATCAATATTTATTATGGCTATAAAAACCATTTAGTAATGATGATTTATACATCCTATTTTAAAGTTAGGATTTTATTTGGGTGGCATTTTTAAAAAATTTCTATTTAAATGTTGAATTAAAGATTTAAACTTTTATAAATATGTGGCCCAAAATGTTCTGTTAATTTTAAACTTTTGAAAGAAATTTTATTAGTCTTATGTGTACCTGATTTTTCTTGGCTTTTTAAGATAGTTGGACTGTTTTTTAAACTATAAAGAAATAATTGGATTTTAATTGATAATCAGAAAGACAGAGACTTTATATAAGTTTATTATATTTTAATTTGTTTATTGACTATGTGTTGTGGAAATTCTTTCAGTGCAATATTTGTTGGAATTATTTGTTGAAATATTGTTGCTAAGGTCATTTGTATAGGTTCCTTTTTAATTATATTAAATGTAAAATCAGAACAATATGCAATATTTGTTGCACATTTTTTGGGGCAAAGGGACAAATTTGACAGTATTGAAAGAATGGATTGTTTACAAAACAACAACAATGAATCATTTTCTGTGTCTTACTCATGAAAGTTTGCATTCGAATGTTTACATATTTGTCTATTTGAATTTTTGCTGGCTAAATTCTATCATTGTCTCTGCAGTGTGAATGTGCCAGCACTTTCTGCTACCCGTTTCACTTTACTTTGTGTGAATTTTGAGTGGTAGTAATTAGTAAAAGCCATTTATAATTGAAGTTAATGGTTTTGTAATATATAGGAAAGACTTTTAGTTATATACCTGGCCTTGAGCTTTTTGTTTAATTTATTGGCAATATTGTGCCAAGTCTCCAAAATAGGCTTATTCCATAGAACGGAATTAAAACTACTAAGTTATCAATATATTTTAAGGTTATGTGGCATTGTGATAAGAATTCACATTATATTCTGACTAATTTAGGCCACTTTGAAATAGCCTTCTGGAAAAATTGACAGATACCCAAATGTTAGTTTCTACATTTAACTTTTGTGCTTTATCACAGGAAGTCTGATAGAGAATTGGAATTAATATTGTAATATTTTACTGGTGTTTGAGTTGAATTGTATACTTGTACATACAATTTTAAAGCTTTTAGTAGTGATTAGTTAGCAATTTTTTTGTTGTCTATTATATTGACATTAGGCATGTTTGGAGACTTTCCTATTTTAGCATTTATAAGAAATTATATTTAAATAATTATAATAAAGTTTTAAAATTTTTGAAATACTGAGTTAGCCCAAACATTGTCCATTTGTGTTAATTGTTAGTATAAAAAGTTGCCAAGGAAAATTTATCCTGTACAATTTCAGCAATTTGATAATTTGTCAATTTTGTTTGTAATTTTTATGGTATCATATCTCTATATCTCTATCTCTATCTCTATCTCTATCTCTCTCTATGTCTCTCTCTCGCTCTCTCTCTCTCTCTCTCTCTCTCTCTCTATATATATATATATATATATATATATATATATATATATATTTATATTTAGGTATACCAGTTAACAAATGGCGAATTTTGTAATCAAAGAGAACATAAGAGATACATAAAAACTGCTTTATTCAAAGTAATGCCCATTGCTAGCTACACATTTCTCCCATCTTTCAGGTAATTTGTGGATACCGTCCAATAGAAGTTCTTGTTTTGAGGCAAACCATTCAGAGACCCAATTTTCCACTTCTTTGTACATTTTGAAGTGCTGCTCAGAAAGTGCATGTGCCATCAATCAGAACAAGTGGTAATTGAAGGAACAAGGTCTGGTGAATATGGAAGGTGGGTTAATACTTCCCAGGCAAGATCTTTTAACGTGTCTTTGACTGGTTTTGAAGTGTGTGATGGTGCGTTATCATGAAGCAAAATTACTTTGCCATGTCTTCTGGCCCATTCTGGTCATTTCACGATCAAAGTGTGGTTCAAACTGATTATTTGTTGTCGGCAGCGATCAGTATTAACGGTTTCACCTGGTTTTAGAAGCTCCTAATACACCACACCTTCCTGATCCCACCAAACACAGAGCATTGTCTTCTTTCCGAAGCGATTTGGCCTTGCAGTCAGTGTTGATGGTTGACCTGCATCAACCCATGATTTTGTGCATTTGGGATTCTTAAAATAAACCCACTTTTCATCGCCAGTCATAATTTGATGCAAAAAAAGACTTTCTTTGGTGCCATTGAAGCAACATTTTACTGATGACTTTTCAGTTTTCCATTTGTCTTTTTTTAGTTGATGTGGCACCCATTTTCCTCCCTTTAAAATCTTTCCCATTGCTTGTAAATGATCAGAAAGTGTTTGCTGAGCAACACTTAATCTTTCTGCAAGTTGTTTTTGAGTTTGACATGCATCTTCATCCAATAATGCTTGTAATTGTTGGTCTTCAAACTTTTTTGGTTGACCTGGACATTTTTTGTCTTTCACATCAAAATAATCACTTTTAAATCATTTAAACCAGCATTCACAAGTATCTTGAGATGGAGCATGTTCACCATAAGCTACCCGAAATATACAATAACTTTTTCTTCAAAATAAAGTAATGAATTGAAACTTCCCACAAATACTCTTTTTTTGGCATGAAATTCGACATTTTTAAGTGTCAAAATATGTATGATGTTAACACCCTCAGCAAATTTGACATATGTAGTTTTGAAGCTTGCTGTCAATACAACAAAATAGCATACATATGAAATCGCATTTATATCAACATATGTGTAACTCCATCTATTGAAAAAAATCCGCATTATTAACTGGTACACCTAGTATATTTTACATATGTGAATATTTATTTAGAATAACAGAAATCACAAATTACAAATTTTATATCTTGACAATTAGCACAGATATTTCAAAATCCAGAAAAACAACATTCTAGTTTTATTAACTGCTTGACATATCTCTATATTGCTTTTATTGCATAGTTGGGGGTAAGGGAGTGTAAATGTCTTTGTAATGATTTTGTAGTATCTTTTTAAAAAATATATTTTTATGGATTTCAGAGAAGAAGGGAGAGGGAGAGAGATAGAAACATCAATGATGAGAATCATTGATCAGCTGCCTCCTGCATGACCCCACTGGGAATTAAGCCTGCAACCCCGGCATGTGCCCTGACCTCCTGGTTCATTGGTCAACGCTCAACCACTGAGCCCCGCCAGCCAGGCTGAAGTATCTTTTTTTATACATAGAGAACTGAAAGATAATTTAGCTTTTCCTCTTTCACAGTTGATCAAAATTATTTTTAAATGAAAGGATGCGAAATAAACGTGTCCTCAAACACAGGTACACTAGCTGTAGTACAGCTGTAAATCTGTGCCCTACATAAAGCAGAATTCAGATGAATTCTATTGTGTATGATTCCCATAACCAAACAAGCACAGTGCCTTTTAGACTGTATAGCCCCACTATCAAGTGTGTCAAGTTGTGGACAGAATCTTTATTTTGATAGATATTGATGAAAACGAATCATCTGCTAACAGCTTCACATATCTAATTATTGGACATTTTCCACAAGCTACTCTCTGGCTCCATATTGCAGGAAGACCTCCGGCCCTGCACCTGGTGCTAGGAAAGTGCAAGACCATGTAAGCACAGTGCTAAGGACTCTTGGACCCTCGGACCCTCGCTGGTCTTGGCAGGGCTCTGACGCTTATGCGCTTATGCTTCATCAGCTTCCTGGAAATTCAGCCTCTGCTGATGAGGAAATGGAGAGAAAAAAGTTCAGGAAGGACAAATCAGCCCGTGGGCTCAGGGCTCCTGATCACACACAACCCCACAGTTTTTTCTACTAGAACATATTGTACAAGTCTCTTTTCAGGGTTTCTTCATTGAAACTCTCTCCTGCTATCAGGTGGCTACTAGATTTATCGAGGTGATCACTTCATAAGTTAGATAAATGTCAAATCACTATTTTGTACACCCGAAACTAATATAATATTGTATGTCAACTATAATTGAAAAAAATTTAAAAACTACCTCTTGATTGTCTGAAATTGTTTACAACTCAGTAAATTTAACTTTTATCTTGGAAAGCATTATAGTTCTCCAAAGTGAGGTTTTTAAAGTAAGTGGGCCCATTATAAACACCACTCTCATGGGTAAACGCAGGCCTGGAGCTAGGAGAGAAGGCAGAGAAGGGATGCACTGTCCAGACCTCCGTCTGTGCTGTCAGTCTTGCTTCCAGAAAGCATATGCTCTATTTTAATTAGGCAACAAATTAAAAAATAGTTTTGAAATAATTTTAATATTTTATGCCTACATTTTATTTTACTCTTCTGAAGAAATCATGCTCATCCCATAATTATGAATATTACTTTTCCTGGAAAAAATAAACTAAAATACCTTTATTTCTTTAGTAAATAAAAAAATAAGAGAAAAACTACCGAGTCCTCTGCTAGCACATTTCAGAAAGTCACCATTTCAAATATAAGGAAGTAACTTTCTTAATACATAAATACTATGAGCCCAAGACAATATTGGGCAGGGGGTGGGGTGGGGGAAGAAATAATGTATAATTATGTTAAACCTCTCTGTAGTCAAAGATAAAGATACTTAAGTATAATCCTATTATAATTTGTTTTGAGTTACTATTACTGGGGGGTGGGGAAGGGGACCCTTTAAGGCAGTGGTTCTCAACCTGTGGGTCTCGAACAATGAAAATACATCCTGCATATCAGATATTTACATTACGATTCATAACTGTAGCAAAATTACAGTTATGAAGTAGCAATGAAAATAATTTTATGGTTGGGGGTCACCACAACATGAGAAACTGTATTAAAGGGTTGTGGCATTAGGAAGGTTGAGAACCACTGCAAGAATTGCATTCAGTAACAACACTACAGTATAGCAATATGGATAACATCTTCAACTCAGTAAAGACTGGTATTTAAGATTATTTTAAGTTATTTTGCCTGAATAACAACATAATACCTCAACTTCCAATTAAAAATATAAACCTAGCCCTCTCGTCTCTCATTCACTTCTAACTAGACCTTCTTTTAAAGGCAACTATCGATTACGTGGTTTGGTGGGATGTGCATTATCCCATAAACCCAAATGAGCCAAAAGCCCAGCGATGTGTAAAACCTAAGAGGCAACCTGAAAGGCTGACCTGGGGAACCTTTCCTATTTTTATGAAACAATGTGATCACCTCTGGAGATGAAAACTTTTGGTTGGAACTGTAGAACCAGGACACCTAGAGGAACAAGAGTAAAAGAACACTACCTCCTGCTCCACAACAAATACTGAGATTATGAAAACAGATACTACTTGTTGAAAGAAGAGGACATTACTAAAAATAGAAACATAAAACTCAGGAAGAAAGACTAAGAAGCACATGGATAAGCCTTTGCCTTTTTCATGCCATCTGCAAGTCTTCTGCTTTGTGTAGGACTTCGGTATAGGTAGTTTAGATGCAATTATTAGGCATGATATTCACCAGAGCAGACTCAGTCTCTTTCCCTACCAAATATCTGAATACAGGATAAGCATCCTAACATTGCCACAACCGGCTTGAACTGCAGGCTCTCAAGTGTTGGATGCGGGCCTTTGCAAGTAAAATGTGATTTCCCAACTATTGTGTGGTTACAGAGGACGTGAAGTTGTGAAAGACATCCATCCCCCAGCTCTTCCATGTTTCTGTGGTTTCACAGTGCTGGGCTCTGCATCCCCATTTGGCCACCTTAAACCAAAAGGCTAAGTTTTGGAAACCAAGAAGTTTAGCCTGGTTTGAGACCCTGGTATGTCATCTCTCCCAGGGTACAGAGATTACAATAATCCAAATGGCAATTTTTGATGTTTTGAAGCATGTGGGTCTGTTCTACTAATCTTGATCAAGATATTCAAGAGATGACAAAAATAAATCTAAATATTGAAATATATTTACATTGTATGTAACCGACAAAGTTATATACATACTAGAGCAGTGGTTCTCAACCTTTCTAATGCCGCGACCCTTTAATATAGTTCCTCATGTTGTGGTGACCCCCAATTTCATTGTTACAAATTGAACATAATTAAAGCATAGTGATTAATCACAAAAACAATATGTAATTACATATGTGTTTTCTGTTGATCTTAGGTGACCCCTGTGAAAGGGTCGCGGGGAACTCTCTAGTTACACTGCAATTTGCCTGCAGAACTTAGTTGTAAATCATCTGCGATGTGAAACCTGTCCTCAGACATTTCCTTTGCATTTTGTATTTTAGACAAAATCTATTTACCGCCCCTAACTTCACAGCAGCCAGGGCTACCCGGTCACAAGTCCCTGCCCATTGGAGAGGTTTGCTGGACAGCTCACCCAGATCCTCTCTCGCACCCTCATCCGAGTGATTGGAGGCAGAGGGGCGGGGCGGGCAGAGGCAGTAGCAGCCTCAGCGTCAGGCGGCTCGCCCCACCCTCCCCTCACGAGCGCTGGGAGTCCCCTGGAGGCTGCCACTGTCGCTGCCACCCCTTCCGCCTCCATCACTCCGTAAAGGTTCTGGAATAGCGGGGGCGCGGGGAATTCGAGGCTGACTCCTCGAGGCTGCTGGTGGAGCAGGATCACTCGCGGGGACGCCGGCACTTCCGAGGCTGAGACCCCGAGGCTGCAGGTGTGTGTGTGGGATCGCTCCGTGGGGACGCGGGCGCTTCCGGGGTTGAGAACAGAGGCTGCGTGTGTGAGAGTGTATGGGGGGGTGCGGGTGGGGAATGGCTTGCCCAGTTGTCTTAGGGTAAATCAGGTTGAAGGGGCAGAAGGGTTAGAAGGCACAGAGAGGCCATCTAGTACCAAGCAAGTGACGGCCCCAAGAGGCGGTTTTGCGGACTGCGCTTTCCAACCTAGGACTCCTCTTTCCAGACGGAAACTCGGCAACGGCCTCCGGGGGCGCTGGTCCCCCGCAGGCATGGCTGTCCCGGCGGCGGCGGTGGCAGGCTTCCCGCGTCACTTTCCGCGGCTGCTCCTGGTTTTGTGGTGCTGGGTGCCCACCGCAGGTAAGGTGGCGGGGGGTGTGTGTGTGTGTGTGTGTGTGTGTGTGTGTGTGTGTGTGAAGGTTGGGGGGGGGGTGAGGGTTGGGGGGTGTCGCTAGGCAGACTCCCCTGGTCCTTCGGGGGCCCCGCCTGACGTCCTCGGCCACCTGTACCTTAACAGTCCCCAACTCTAAGCTTTCCTTTGTGGAATTGTAGGAATCAATTAAACGGATTTGAAAATTTCTAAGAAATTTCAAGACACCAGAATAATCAAAACAATATTGAAAAGGAAGAACAAAGTTGGAGGATCTTATTCGGATTAAGGAGGGGCCATGAACTAAGGGCCTCTGTATCTGACACCCCCGCCCCCCCCCGCCCCCAAAAGAATTTGTTTTTGTGTTTTGTTTTTTATAAAGGGTCAGGCAGAGTGCCTGCTACATAGTAAGCTCTTTTAAAAAAGATATATTTTTTTATTGATTTCAGAGAGGAAGGGAGCGTGAGAGAGAAATATTAATGACCAGAGGCTCATTGATCGGCGGCCTGCTTCGTGACCCCTACTGGGGCCGGCTAGGGCAAGGAATTTGTTTTTAATTACACGGTAAAGTGTCTGAGAGTACAAGGCCTAAGTTTTTTTTCAAGGTCCTCCCATAACTGAATTTTCTTCTTTCCACAGATTTCTTGATAGTGGAGATGGAAGGGAAGAATCAGACTGTGCTGCTGAATGACAATGTCACCATCTCCTGCAAGGTCCCTGGTTCCACACCCCTGAACATCAAGGGTATGGGTGTTATCTGGTATCGGAAGCATCAGGCAGATGAAACAGAGCACAAGGTGTTTGAAATGTATGGAAACCATCAAAAGGCATTCAGACCCGGAGCCAGCGTGTCTCCAGAGGGGCTAGAGAAGGGGGACGCCTCACTGCACCTTCCTGGAGTCCAGCTGAGGGACGCAGGAGAGTACCGATGTGAGGTGGTGGTCACCCCCGAGAAGGCCCAGGGAGCAGTCGTTCTAAAGGTTTTGGGTGAGTGTCCTGTGGTTCCCATGGTGTTGGAGCTGGGGGTAGATATGTGGCCCGGCCAAGTAGAGCAGAAGTTTGGGCATGGGCCTTGGAGTTGGATAGACACAGGTTTAAGTTCTGGGCTTCCCTGGACGTCTGGACAACTTAGAGCAAGTTATTAATCATGATGAACCTCAGGATCCTTTTTTCTAAATAGATGTAATAGTACCTCTATAAAGACTCTGTCTCCAGCCCTAGCCGGTTTGGCTCAGTGGATAGAGCATGGGCCTGCGGACCAAAGCGTCCCCAGTTTAAAAAAAGACCCTATCTCCAAATACAGTCACAGGAGAATGGGCTTAGGGCTTCAACATATGAATTTGGGGGTGGGGCCACAATGCAGCCTATAAGGGGGGGCGGCAATGTCTATGAGCTCTTCAAAATTGTACTTAAGACTTTGAATGTTTTGTACATATTGATTAGGGCAGTGGTCGTCAAACTGTGGCTCGCGAGCCAAATGCAGCTCTTTGGCCCCTTCAGTGTGGCTCTTCCACAAAATACCCCATGCGGGCGTGCACATACAGTGCGAAGTTGACTTAAAACTTTAAGTAAAGTTTATTAAGTTAATTTTAGGGAACGTTGTGGAGAGAAAGAAGATGTAGTGTCGAGGATTGAGAAAGGTATGTTGAGATGGTTTGGACATATAGAGAGGATGAACAAAAGGAGATAGACGAAACAAGTATACAAGACGAGTGTGGATGGGAGAGTTGGAAGGGGTCGACCTCAGCGAAAGTACCTCAATCAGATTGAGGACGTTTTTAGCAAACGCCAGCTTAGGAATACCCTAATTAAGCTAATAACAATGTACCTATCTATATAGTTTAAGTTTAAAAATTTTGGCTCTCAAAAGAAATTTCAGTCGTTGTACTGTTGATATTTGGCTCTGTTGACTAATAAGTTTGCCGACCACTGGGCTATGGGGATGGGAAAGTGTATTAGGATTCATTTCCTCCACAACTGACAGAAAGCCTAAAAAGATTTTAAAAAAATTAATAGACTTTATTTTTTAGAACAGTTTTAGATTACAGAAAATATTGCAAATATAGTAGTTTCTTTATGACTCCTGCCTGTGCATATACCGCTTTCTCTATTATTAACCTCTTGCATCAGTATGGTATATTTGTTATAATTAATGAACCAATATTGATACATTTTTATTAATAAATGTCCATAGTTTTTTCAGATAGCCTTAGTTTTGACCTAATATTTCTGATAACTTTTCTTTTTAAAATATATTTTATTAATTGTTTACAGAGAGGAAGAGAGAGGGGCAGAGAGTTAGAAACATTGATGAGAGAGAAACATCAATCAGCTGCCTCCTGAACACTCCCCACTGAGGATGTGCCTGCAACCAAGGTACATGCCCTTGACTGGAATCGAACCTGGGACCCTTGAGTCTGCAGGCCGACGCTCTATCCACTGAGCCAAACCAGTTAGGGCTCCCTGATAACTTTTCTTGTTCTAAAGGCTACTTTGAAATTCATAGAGCTATTCCAGTTTCCTTTAGATTAGGGTTAGTATGGTATATAAATCCTTCACTTTTTGTTATTGTTGTTGTTAATCCTCACCTGAGGATATTTTTTCCATAGATTTTTTTGTTGTTTTTTTTAGAAAGTGGAAGGGATGGAGAGGGGAAGGTGCAAGAGAGAGGCAGAGAGAGACATCCATGTGAGGAAGACATTGATTAGTTGCCTCTCCCATGTACTCAGACTGGGGCTAGGGGCTGAACCTGTAACCCAGGTACCTGCCATTCATTGGCTGGAAATAGGACCTGTGACCCTTTGGTGCATGGACCAATGCTCTAGCCATTTAGCACACCAGCCCGGCTCAGTTATACTTCTTTAAAAATTTTTTAGTGATTGCAATGTATTTTTACAACTAATCTAAGTCAATTTTGAAAGAACACTTTACTGCATCATTGTCATCAGTGGTACAGATATTTTATAACAGAATATTTCCAGTTCTCCCCTCCCATCTCATAACATTCTGTCATTCACATACCCATATGCTATAATCACCCAATGTATTATTGCTATTATTTTAAACCAACAATTATTTATTAGATCAATTAAGCATAAGAAAAGGTTTTAATTTACCTTCATTTATGTCTTCTCTGATTCTAGTTTCTGACCCATATCCTTTTCCTTCTCTCTGAAGACTTTTTAATATTTTGCAAGGCAGGTCTATTGGTGACATATTCCCTTGGTTTTGTTTGAGAAAGTATTTATAGTTCACTTTTGAATGATAATTTTTCTGAATATAGGATCCAAGTAGGTGGGTTATTTTCTTTCGACACTTAAAATATTTCACATTTCTCTCTTCTCTCTTGCATTTAAGAAGTCCAATGTCATTCTTATCCTCGTTCCTCTATGAGTAAATTATTTTTTCCTTTCAGGTTTCTTTTCTAGAAGACTTTCTCTTTGTCTTTTGATCATATATATGTATATATAATGTATTTATGTATTATTATGTATCATTTTCAATATGATATAGTGTTTTCCTACTTGGAGTTCTCTAAGCTTCCTATGTCTGTGCTTTGATGTCTGTCATTAATTTTGGAAAATTCTCAGCTATTATATTTTAAACAATTTCTTCTGCTTCCTTCTCTTTACTTCTTTTTGTATTCCTATTACATGTATGTTACAACTTTTGCAACTGTCCAGTTTTTGGATATTTCTTTCCCTTCTGGTTCCTTCTCTCCCCCTCCCCCCCAAATTCTTTTTGCTCTTTGCATTTTAGTTTGGGAAGTTTATATGGACATATTTAAACTAGCTGATTCCCTCCTTGGCAGTGTTAAGTCTATTGATGATCCTATCAAAGAGATTCCTCTTTTCTTTTTTTCATAAATTTTAAAATATATATATATATATATATATATA